ATCTGGAAGTTCACAACTCAAATGCTTGTAAGTTAGGGACTTACTATTGTATGTTCATTGGAGGCATATAAAAGCTCTTTGAATTTTGGATATAACAACAGAATAATAATACTTTCTTTGAGCCAGGGAGATAGCTCAGTAGAATAAGCGCTTGCCTGGCAGGTACAGGGTCCTGAGTTCAATCCCCAGTAACACCCAAGGGGGGGGGAAATAAAAGGAATACTTTTTTGGTATGTTTTACTTATTTGTTTGATTTTTTTTTTAATTTATTTTTTATTTATTTATTTTTTTGAGATAGGATATTGCTATGTAGTTCAGGTTAGCCTTCAACTCATTTTGTAGTCCAGGTTGTCCTCGAACTCATGTCTCTCGTATTCTACCTCAGCTTCCCAATTGGTGGAATTATAGATGTGTGTCATCACACCCAGCTTTTTGTTTTGTTGTGGGGGAGCTGGTTTTTTGAGACAAGAGTCTTAACTATGTAGTCCTGGCTGGCTTCAAACAACAATCTGCCTCCTTCTTAAATGCTGGGATTACAACCATGCCTGGTACTTGTTGGTTTTCTGATTTTGTGTATGTGTGTATGTGTTATGCTGGCCTCCAACTCAAGATCTTCCTGTCTTGGTCTCCTGAGGGATGGGTTTGTGTACCATGCCTGGCACATAGAGAATACTTTTGTTTGTTAGTATAGCTGATTACAAGTGAGGGCCCTCACATTGTTTTCCTTCCATAGTCATTCTTTTTAATCTCTTGTCATAAATTACTAAAAAGTGCTTGTTGGAATGCAGCTTTTTGTTTTATTTTAGCACTGTAATACTTTTAAATTTTTCTATACTAACTTTTATTAGGCTTTAAGTTATAAAATCACAAAATACTTTTTTTTTTTTTTTTTTTTTTGGTGGTAGTACTGTGGATGAACCCAGAGCTTCATGTATGGTAGACAGACGAGTACTCTACAATTCAGCTGTATCACCAGTCCTTATTTTTTGTTTAGAGACAGGGTCTTCTAAGTTGCCCAGGTTAGATTCATATTTGTGATTCTCCTGCCTCAACCCCCCCAAATGGCCAGGACAACAAGCATTTGTCCTCACATCTGGCCTATCCTTTTTAGTTTAGGCTAGTCTGGAACTCACTTCCTACTCTAAGCTGGCCTTGAACTTGGAGCCATCCTCCTGCCTCAAGTGTGAGGCCTACTGGTGTGAGCCATCACAACTAGCTAATTCTCCTTTTTTATTCTGTTCTTTCAGTTTGTTTTTTGTCTTGTGATGCTGGAGATTGAGTGCCAGGGGTGTTTTCACCAGTGAGTTAGGTCTTCCTGTTTTTGGAGACAAGATCTTGCTAAGGTTTATGTTGCCCAGGTAGGACTTTAACTTTAGATCCCCTGCCTCAGCATCTCTCAGTACTGGAGTTATTGGCATGTATATCACAGTCAGGACTTTGTCCCTCCCTGTTTGTTTTTTTTGTTTTTTGTTTTTTGTTCATTCAGCAGTATTTATTGAATATCTGTTGTGTGCTTGGTATTAATAGTAAACACAGGTAAAATCTTTCTGTAAGTGGACTTATGTACCAGTACTCTTTAATACAGTTTGTATCATAACATACTTCATAATAAGATAAATAAAATATGTTTTAAAATATATTTGAGGCTTAATAAGTTAAGGTCTATATAAAATGTTCCTCAGCCTACTGTTATTACATGTAAAAATGTAAATAGATTTTTGTGGGGTATGATTGAAAGCAAAGGAAAAATCACAAGTGAGATGTTTATGTCATTTCAGACTGAAACCCAGTATCGCTGAATGTGATTTTTCTTTAATTAATTCACTTAGTAAAGTAAACTTTTCATTTACTCATTTATTCTTTCCTAAATCCACTGTGGAATTCTTAACAGTATATATTACAGTGTATTTGTAAATCACATTGTATATAATTGGCACATCTAGACAAACACTGAAACCAGAGTGTTGTTAAATTGTAATAATAATCTCTATTATAAGTCATTATAATTTATTTTGTTCCTGGTAGTTAACGATCTCATACTTTCATTGGATTTTTTTTTTTTTTTTTTTTGAACTGGGGATTGAACTCAGGTCCTTGCGCTTGCCAGGGAAGCACTTATTCCACTGAGCCATCTCCCCAGCCCTTTCATTGGATTTTTAAAACCTGAATTCCGGGGCTGAGGAGATAGCTCAGTAGAATAAGCGCTTGCCTGGCAAGCACAGGGTCCTGAGTTCTATCTCCAGTATCACAAAAAAAAAGAAGGAAGGAAGGGGAAGGAAAAAAATTAGAAAAGAAGGAAAAACTGGAAATAAAACCTGAATTTCTCTTTATTATACATTTGTTGCTTAGTGCTTAGAAAAGTGACTGTTTTCTTCTTTCAGTCTTCATTAGGTTCATCTACTTCTTCATTCCAGTCAGTGAGTTCCTATGGACCTTTTGGCAGGATGCCAACATACAGCCAGTTCAGTCCAAGTTCATTGGTCGGGCAGCAGTTTGGTGCTGTTGGTGTTGGTATGTGGTATTTTTGTTGCCATTGTTGTTTGTCATTTCCCTTTATCACAAAGCTATAGAAACTTACTACTCTAACCTCATACTCTTAGAAATGTTATTTGATGTTCCTTTTATAATCTCAAAGGCTATAAAGAACACTTTGCCAAGCCAGGTGTGGTGGTACACCCTGTGGTCCTAGCCCATAAGAGGCTAGAGCAGTGGGATTGCTGAGAGTTGAAGGCCAGCCCTGTCTTCAAAAACATTGTGATGCACACCTATAATCGTAGTGCTGCTGGGCAAACAGAGGAAGGAGGGATGTTTCAAGTTCAAGGTCAGCTACACTGCCTCATATACACAAGCAAACAAAAGGAATTAGCTAATTTTTGTTGGCATAAATCAAGCCTTTTCTCATCTTTATTTGGTATTCTGATTTTTAAAGGATAAAATGAATCAGTTATACTGTTGCTGTTTATGGGGATATTTATTTTCCATTTAAATTATCATACACACACAAAAAAAGAATAAAAATAAAATAAAGCACAAAAATATATTTTCATACACAGATGCTCTTCAACTCACAGTGGGTTTTCATTCTAAAATAGAAGTTGGAAATGAGTCAAAAAAAACCCATTTAATATGTGTATTACCTAACATAGGTTAGTTTGTTAACCTTAAATATACTCAGGATAAAATGTCAAAGAAGCTCTTGTACACACAGATGGGCACTTGTAGAAATGATGCAATGTTAAAGCACAAAACAAAATATCCAAAATATACAGGCAGCACAGTACACTGTACAGCATGAGTGCACTCCTGGGCTTGCACAGCTCTTTGGGAGCTGCAGCTTGCTACTGTGCCCCAGCAGCATAAGAAGGTGTCATGCTGTGTATGGCTACCCTGGGAAAAGACCAAAATTCAGAGGATGGTATCTCCTAAAGAAATACTGTCCTCAAGTCCAAATGCATTAAGTCAAACTATCTGTAAGTTGGGCACCATCTGTATTATTAGTAGAGCACTGTTAATAGTTTATTTGTAATTTTTTACTATTTAATATCTTTTTATAGATGGCTCTTCTAAATATAAAAAGTCAGCAGCCCAACAAAATTGGGCAGGAAAGTTAACAGTTCACAGAAAAAGAAGTAGAAATATTCCTCAAGCATATTGAAAAATACGTTTTAATTGGTTTATAGTAAAAATACACAAGTGAAATCTATATTGAGACACCATTTTTAACAAAAATTTTGCAAAACCCCAGAATTTTTTCAACATTTTAAGTCTGATGAAACAGATGCTATCATAATTGCTATCATATCATAAGGAATGATGTACTTCTTATTTTTTTTTTTAAGACAGTTGCGTTTTTATTACATAACATTTGAATATTTCTCGTGGAACTTGGTCATCATTTGCTTTTCCCTTTGACAGAACGTCAAATATCTATAGAAATTTCTACGAATTATTTATGAAAAAAATATTCCCCTAACCTCTCCAAAAAGGCATCATTGCCTACATATCCCAACCAGGTTCCTGAGGAAAACAATAGGTTTTGTTTATTTTACAGTGCCATACATACAATTTCTATTGAGATATAAAAAAGGGAAGACTTCTAAACCATGAGTCCCCTTCTGTTTACAAAGTTTTATAAAAATACATTAAATCATGTTTGTTCTTTGACTCAACATTCCAGTTTATCAGAAAAGCAAAACAGCAGTACACAAAGCTGTGCAAACCCCCATTAATCTTGCAGCAATATAATATCAACATCGTCATGGACACCTTGCAAAAGTAGCTCTCCCGAGTATGTGACAATCTTCCTTCGTTTTGCCGCTTTCAGCGTTCCTACCAATGCTTCAAAGAGGTTGGCACACTTGTCATCTCGAAAAAGGACCCCAAACTTCACGCTGAACTTCCCATCAGCATTTTTTGAACCCAAGCGATGAATTTCCTCCACTAAGAGGTTAACTTCATGATCCACATTCATTATCACCTCTTGGCCTAGTTTTCCAGTCCAGTGGAGAACTGGTGCCGCATTGGTTCAGCCCCGGGCGTCAGCTGCGCACTGGGGAGGCAAGGGCTCTGATGTACTTGTTATATTGAGAGGACTATCATTTTAATCTCATGTAAAAATAATTCTTTTGAGGAGGGGTTGTGAAGGTTTTGGTCGTAGTGGTTTTTTTGGGTTTTTGTTTTGGTTTTTTTTTCTTTTTTGGTATCAGGAATTGAATTCAGGTCCTTGTACTTGCCAGGCACTTGCTATGCCACTGAGGTACACCCTTGGCCCTGTGGGGAGGGGTTTGAGACAGGATTTCACTATATGGTATAGTTGAGGCTGGCTTTTAACTATGTAACCCAGGCTGCCATCAGATTCACAGCAGTCCTGCTGCCTCAGGCTTCAAAGTGCTGGGATTACAGGCTTGGGCCGCCAACATAGGCCCAGCTATGACTTTAAGAACCTTTAAAAAAATTATCAATAAATGAAACATCAAAGTGTATTTTCTTACGTTATCACTGACCAATAAGACGCTCAGAGCTTGCTGCTAAAGTAAAGGATTACTAGAAAGAATAACTGGTACAATGATCAGTCATCTCTTTTTCCTCCCACAGTACTGTAGATCAAACCCAGGTATTATGCATATTGGAGAGGCATACTACCTACTACTACAGTCGTACTCTAGCCCTACCAGCCATTTAAATTAAATGTGTAGTGATGATTAAAAGGATCATAAGCCTGTGCAAAAGACTGAAGCAGAAGGATTGCTGTGAGTTCAAGGCCAGTCTGGGCTATAAAGTGAGTTTAAGGCCTGCCTGAACAACATATTTGAGTATCATTACTACATATTGATTGAGACCCTGCCTCAATCAATCAACAAGAGCATGGAGCCTTTTCTCCTTCATTATTATTTACTCACTGAGGCCAGTTGATTGTTTACAAATAATTGGGACAAATTTACTAGTGTTCTGTGGCATGCTTTGTCTCATAATTCTCTCAGGCCAAGATGGAAGAATATTGGTCAAATAGATGTGTACACATTTTAGACTAGGTCAGGTGCACCGAGGCTGTAGAAGACATACATCATTGGCAACCAGCTGTTTGGATGATGATTCTCTTAGCTCTAACCTTTTGTACAGATTTTTATTTACCAAGTTTGATGAATTAATATATGCATATGAATTTTAAAACCAGGATGATAACACACGAGACTAAGAATTGTTAAAGATGCACACCTACAATCTCAGTATTGAGGATGCTGAGATAGGAAACTAGTGAGTTCAAAGCTAGCCTGGGCTACAAAGTGGAACACTGTCTCGAAAAAAACAAAAAAAAAAGAATACCGAATCAAAAAATTTACTTTTGTGCAGTTACACAGCTCCTTTACAAAAAAAAAAAAAAA